AACCTGGTCGTTACCTGATTGATCGTCACGTGGCTGGAGGGTTGTTACATAGTCTGCTGAGTGAGCGCACGACGTCAGCAGAGCTCTCTGGTTGGCGGAAGGATCTGTGTTTCTAATCTATTTCCTGGCCCAATAACCAGGCCGCTGGAGAAAGCAGCACCTGACCTTCCGCATCTTGAACCTGCCTTCCACCCTCCCGCCCCGCACGGCCCGCGCAGCCCTGCGTCAGGCCTTCCAGTACTGGAGCAACGTAGCCCCCTTGACCTTCAGGGAGGTGCAGGCTGGCTGGGCGGACATCCGCCTCTCCTTTCATGGCCGCCGAAGCCCGTACTGCTCTAACACCTTTGATGGGCCTGGTAGGTACCCGCTCGTGGCTCTCTCCAGACAGACCTCTGAGATCATCTCTGTCTCCTTGAGCCACGGACTCTGGAACCTTAATGTTTAGGCAGATCCCTATGCCCATCCACCCCAAGGGAAGCAGCTGGCCCCCTACCTCCCTTGGACCCTGCTCAAGGCACAACCCGGAGAGGACTGGAGCAGAGAGGGGAGAGGGGTTGGGAGGGAACGCAGTAGAGTGATGGGCATCCCTGTGAGAACGGGGCGATGACGGGGGAATCCGAAAGAAGAGAGTGAGGTATCCCAGAGGCAGTGACCAAAGATGGGGGAGTTTTATGGGGATGGAGGAATTGAAGTTTATTACAGGAGCTCTGACCTCTTTCCTACCCACCTTTTGCCTCTGTCCAGGGAGGGTCCTGGCTCATGCCGACATCCCAGAGCTGGGCAGCGTGCACTTCGATGAGGATGAGCGCTGGACCGAGGGGACCTACCAGGGGGTGAACCTTCGCATCATCGCAGCCCACGAACTGGGCCACGCCCTGGGGCTCGGGCACTCCCGATACACCCAGGCCCTCATGGCCCCCGTCTACGCTGGCTACCGGCCCCACTTCAAGCTGCACCCAGATGACGTGGCGGGGATCCAGGCTCTCTATGGTAGGCCTTCCCGGAGTGATCATGAGGGTCAGCCAGATAAGCAACTTCAGGTTTGAAGAGGCAGTTCTAACCTCCACTGAGGGAAACGGCTTAGCTTATTTCTCTTCCTCCTGCCCAGCTGTTCAGACTTCTATTTTCAGACACTTCCACATCTAACCTTGCTTTGCAGCCTCTCTCCCCTCAGACCCATTCTTGGGGATGAAGAATGAATATTTCAACAAACCTTCTTCCTCCTAAACCAAAACATGTTCCTGCTAATATCAATATGATCTTGCCTCCCACCAAGGGAAACTCTCTAGGACCCCCTTTCCCCATCACTATGGGGCCTCTGAGCCAAACGAAGGAGGAGTGAGGAGGTCGGGAGTTACTAGTTCCCTCTCTGAGCAGCATCGCATTACCTTGCAGGCAAGAAGAACCCTGAGACAGAGGATGAGGAAGAAGTGACAGAACTTCTTGTGCCCCAAGTGCCCACAGAACCCAGTCCTATGCCAGATCCCTGCAGTGGTGAACTGGATGCCATAATGATGGGTGAGACCCTTTCCCTGCCAGCCTATAGGCAAGCAGTGATGGCAGCCTGCTGACCTTGAGACCTGGACAAATGGGAATGATGTGGGATCACAGCACGAGCAGGCAGGAGTTAGTGGTCATAGAAAGAGGCATGTGGCATGGGGAGGGAGGGCTCAGAGCCAAATTAAAGATAGGCCAGGAAGGCATTTACCTCAGTTGCTGTAAGGGCCACTAAGACGCACCTGGAAATACAGCAAGATGGAGAAAACTACACTGAGTGACCAGATTATTATGATCTCTGAACGCATAATAATCTAGCCACTCAGTGTATATCCTATATAATTTGCTAATATGCAAATTTTCCCCTTGACCAGGAGTTCAACCAGCAGGCAGGCCGGCCAAACGCCCATGTCCCCTCCCCCTGGCCAAGCTGGCCAGACCCCACCCATGCACAAATTCATCCACCGGGCCTCTAAAACACACACACACACACACACACACACACACTGAGTGGCCAGGTTATTATTAGATCAGAGATCATAATAACAGCCTGGCCACTCAGTGTATATTAACTGGAATGTCTATTAGAGGAGGCATTATCCCTGCACGGAAGAATAACTCGGAAGCCCCCGGGGATGGAAAGGGAGTCCCCCCAAGGGGAAGCAGTTATGTGCAGGGCTTCAGTTTCACTAAGTGGACCAGACCTCAGTTGCTCGGAACAACAAAGGAGAGGCTGAAGTCTGGGTCCTCCTTCTCTACCTCCTTCATCTCACTGAAACTGAAGCTGGATGAATTTTTGAGGAATCAGGCTGAGGGAGAAGGGGAATGATCAGCCTGCCTGAGATGACCGTAAGTAGTTATTTGACCCCTGTCTTTTCAATTTGTTGACACATCTTTGCCCTCAGGGCCCCGTGGGAAGACCTATGCCTTCAAGGGGAGCTACGTGTGGACGGTGACAGATTCGGGGCTGGGTCCCTTATTCCAAGCCTCTGCTCTTTGGGAGGGACTCCCAGGAAACCTGGACGCTGCTGTCTACTCTCCTCGAACACAATGGATTTACTTCTTTAAGGGTAAAGGGACTAATGAATGCATCTGATCTGAGAGGGCCTGCCATCAAAGAAGCCATAAAGGGGAGGGAGAGATGAGAAGTTTCTGAGGGGGCAAAGGAGGAACCAAGACTCAACTGAAGCCAGAGGGGACTGGTTCTTCTGTGTCCTCAGGAGACAAGGTGTGGCGCTACGTTAATTTCAAGTTATCTCCTGGCTTCCCCAAGAGGCTGAATAGGGTGGAACCCAACCTGGATGCAGCTCTCTATTGGCCTGTCAACCAGAAGGTGTTCCTCTTTAAGGTACACGCTTCGAAATCGAGGGCAAATCCCTTCCTAGGATGGGTGGGCTACTTCACACGGAGAAGCTAAGACTTGTTTCTAAAGGGGGTTTTGCAGCCGCTGTGGACCGAGGGTAGGTATCTGGGGGTAGGTATCTGGGGTCCCTAAGCTGTCTCCTCACGCTCCTCTTTTTCCTTACCCACCCCACACCTAGGGCTCCGGGTACTGGCAGTGGGATGAGCTGGCCCGAACCGACTTCAGCCACTACCCCAAACCAATCAAGAGGTTGTTCACCGGAGCGCCAGACCGGCTCTCAGCCGCTATGAGTTGGCAGGATGGCCACGTCTACTTCTTCAAGGGCAAACAGTACTGGCGCCTCAACAAGCAGCTTCGAGTAGAGAAGGGCTATCCCAGAGATATCGCCCGCAACTGGATGCACTGTCGTCCCCAAGTCCCAGCCACGACCGCAGCAGGTGGAGGCACCCCTCCCTCCACCTCAGGCCCCGGCCACTCAGTCACAGGAACAACCTGGGCTCCCACTTCCCTGTCCACAGACACCACCTGGAACTCTGACCACTCACCCCGAGACACAAGCCCTGGTGACGTCACCCCCCCAGAGGCCTGAGGCCTCCACCAGCTGTCTCCGCACTGGACTGCAGGTGCTGCGGCGGGGACGTGGACCACAGACCTCAGACCTAACTGTCCCAGCTCTCGCCTCCATCCCCCTGTGCTCCGGGTCAGCCCCCAACTCTACCCATCTCTTCTCATCCTAGACAGCACTTCCAACTGCATTTCCTACTCTCTGGAAAACAGCGGTAGAGAGAAGGTGTCAATCAGGTCCGACAGGAGGCAACAGCTGGGAAGCTGAATACTTGGGTCTTGTTCTTCCTAGATGAAGTGCAAAAAAACTCCACATAAGAACAACAACAACAACAACAACAACAAAATAATAGCAGCATGGCCACTAAAATGAGCAAGGGTTTTGGAATCCTTGAGAATAACGTGGGCTTGTTTATGACTTGAGCAAGTTTATTAACCTTGTTGAGCTTCAGAGTTCCCGTCTGCAAAATAAGGTTACTACCAACCCTGCAGGGTTGTTGCATTTAGTGACATACTATATGTGAAGTGCCTGACAGGGTCAGGCACAATTGTGCTTAATAAAGGCTAACTCCATGTTCCTGAGAGAGGGCTGAACAGCTCTCTCTGGCTGTGTGTGTGTATGTTTGTATGTTTGTGTGTATATGTGTGTGTGTGTGTGTGTGTGTGTGTGTGTGTGTAGCTCCTACAGGGGTCCGGTCTGCTAAGGGCGTCCTTATCGGGGTTTTAGTGGACAGAGAACTCAGTATGGCTAACTTTGTTTTGGGATGCAAAGGAACAAAAGAGCAGCAACAATAGAGGCCAGACTCCCGGATTCAGTGTTTTAATTAATGCCACTTTATTCACACGGTCACATGTTCTTCCTCCCTCTCACCATCTCCTGGCTGCCCAGGGGAGGGACATATCATATCTTCCTCCATGCTATCTTCCTCCAGGCCGCCCGGGGAACCAGGGCACTGACTTGGAAGGGGAGAGTCACAGTGGGGAGAGGGAGAATGGATTAGCGGCGGGGGCAGAGTTCTGGTTAAGGAAGAAATTAGCATCACCCACACAGAAAGGCGGAGAAGGCACTTGTCTCCCATACAGGCCCGAAGACCAGGCTCCTTTGGGCAAAAGGCAACACTCTGGCATGTAGGCCACGGCTCCATTTGGGGGAGGCGGGGGCTGAGCCAGGCACGGCCCCATGTTCTTCCCCACATCGAGCAGAGAGAGGGAAGAACGGCGGAGGACAATACCCCCATCTGAGGTAGGAGGAGGGGGCTGAGCCTATGGGGCCGGGGGGGGGGGGGGAGGCTATTCCTAATGAGGGGCCTGGGTCTTGGGGGATCCTCTGTGCCCCTCTCCCCACCAAAAAGCTACCTAGTGCCCAGCCAGTGTGGCTGTGTGGTTAAGCATCAGCCTATGAACCAAGAGGTTGCTGGTTTGACTTCAGGTCAGGGCACATGTCCCAACTGTGGGCTTGATCCCCAGTAGGGGTTGTGCAGAAGGCAGCCGATCGATGCTTCTTTCTCATCGATGTTTCTATCTCACTATCCCTTCTCCATTCCTCTCTCTCTCTAAAAATCAATAAAAACACATAAAAAAAATAGCTATCAAGTGCTTTAGGAGGCTTCCTGATTTCCTACAGTTCCTACAGAAACAAAACCCCTTACTTTACCATTTTGTGGCACACGGAGGCAGGCATATAAAAGGCTCTCTGGGGAAGGTCGTCCCCCACCCTTGATGTGGAGGGAATTAGGGAGTCAGTTACTTTAGGGAGCAGGGCACCTCTATTATTGACAGACGTAGCTACTCATACGTCCATTCCTCTCCCCTCCCCAAGATTCCTCTGTCTCTGAAGCCTCTCCCTACGGGTCTGGTCTAGGTTGGAGCACAGATCCCATCCCCAGGTCTAAGAGGCGGGGAAGTTTGTGTGTGAGTCCTGTGGGCTCGGTCCTGCCCACCTCGTGCTCCCAGGCCCTTGCTAGGGGCACAGGGGTATCAGTGGAGGTTTAGGGTCAGGTCTGGGTGGAACCAGAAGGTGTGGTGAGGGGTATAGTGGAACCATAGCCAGAATCCAGGTCCAGGATGGTGTGGGGGGCTGTGGCCTGGCTGCCTGGTCCCAGTTGGCGATCTCGAAGGCTCTGGAGATAACTCTGGAGGAGCACAGGGCAGAGAGGACAGGAGGAGGGGCCTGGGTCAGTCCCTGTCCCACCCTGACTATCCCCATGTACCCTCTCCCCCACCTCCCAGCACGCCCCCTCCCCACCACTCACTGGCGCCAAACTGTCGGCAGGGCTCCGGGCGCTGGGGGGGAGCTGCCTCTGGAAGCTGCCCTCACAGAGCCCCACCCCGGGGGCCGTCCGGTGCCACTTGGCCTCTTGCTGACGGATGCGAAGGAGCTGGAGGTGCCTTCGCTGGTGGCTCAACACCACTGCTTGGGAGGGGGCAACGCAGACTGAGGGAGGCCTCTTTAGGCCCCAGAACCCGCCCCCAAACACACTGCCACTCCAGAGAAACCCATGTGATCTTGTTCTGGCTCTATCAAACCTGTCTCCCCCCAGTTCTTCTAGAAGAAAGCCTTCTTTGGAGTCCCTACTCTCTCCTCCTGGACTTCCCTGAGATCTTCCTTATTTCCCATAAGCAGCCTCCAATAAATAGCTTCCCCATTCCCCCGACAATTTTTCTTCTCATTCTTACCCAGACTTTTGGCTCCTCCAATTCTAATGTCCTTTCTCTAACGTCCTGCCCTGCTCTCCCTAGACACCGCCTCTCTCCTCTCAAGTGTATTTCCCTTCCCCTCCTCAAGTCTGGCCCTGGGGACAGGAGAAGGCACAGGCTGGCTGCTCCTGTACCATGGCACTAACTCACCGTTGGCGTGGCCTCCATGTTCCTCGTCCACGAGCTTCCACTGGGCCAGGGCCCCAAGAGCCCCCAGGGCTGGCCAAGTCCCCAGCAAGGCCCAGCTATACCAGCAGAGAGGAGGCAAGGCTGGGAGTGCCTGCAAGCGTTGGCCTAGCCGACTGCCCAGGGCCAGCCCTTCCAGGAAATAGTCAGCACAGGCCACCAGCACCGCGGCGCCCAGCAGGGCTGTGCCCAGAATGGTGAACGGACGTGGCCACCGAAGCGTGAGCAGGGCTCCCAGCAGTGCCAGCCCCACCAGCCCCCCGGCCGGCACCCAGGCTGAAGGTGGCTGGTAGATGGGTTCCGTGCCCAGCAGGGCCCCGGCACCCAGCGTTAGGCCTAGCAGGAGGCCAGTCAGGAAGAGCCCGACACTGCGCACCAGCATGGTGACCAGGCCGCAGAGGAGTCCGATGCCCAGCGCGATGCCCGCGCTCACCTCCAGGCTCAGCTGGGTCTCCAGCACCCGCTCCTTGTGGCACAGCAGAAAGATCACCAGAGCCCCTGCCAGCAGGCCGGAGAGGAACATCACCGCCTTGGAGCAGCGGTAACCTGGGAAGGGAGCAGGGCACTGAGAGGTAGGGAGGGGTGGGAGGAGTCCATAGGGCTGACTCTGATGGTGAACAGAAGAGCAGAAGACGGGAGCAGCATGCCGAAACCAGTTTGGCTCAGTGGATAGAGCATGGGCCTGGGGATAGAGCATGTACCTTGGTTGCACCCCAGTGGGGGGGGGGTGCAAGAGGCAGCTGATCGATGATTCTCTCTCATTGATGTTTCTAACACTCTATCCCTTTCTCTCTTCCTCTCTATAAAAAAGTCAATAAAATATATTTAAAAAAAAAGAAGACGGGAGCAGCACACCCAGCGATCTCAAGGCAAGAGGCAGAAAGGAGTAATACCAGGGAGGGCAGAGACCTTTCAGGATCTGTGAGGGGACGGGAGGGAAAGGAGGAGGTATAGAAAAAAGGTCCAGTCCTTCTGGGGATGGTAGATGGGAAGCGATCGGCATAAGCTGGTTCAGGTCCTTAGGGAAAGGTGAAGGAGCCTGAAGCATGGATGATAATTTGGGGATGGAGTTTTGAGGTAGAAGGCGTGGGGAAGGCAAGCGAGAGTGCCGGGGGTCACAGCTGGAGGGCATGGGGGGCATAACTAGAAGAGCCGGCAGGAGCAGAATGGGCCATGCTGAGGGTAGGCACTCCCTGGTGGAGTAGGAGAGGTAGCCCAGGAGCAAAGGAGAAAGGTAACAGCATCCTTGAGGGTGACCGTCTTGGGCAGCTGCCCCCCAGAACCCTGGCTCTGCCCTCACCGAAGCAGCAGTAGATGACTCCAAAGCAGCAGCAGAGAGCACACACCAGGGCAGGTGCCAGTTCAGGGTTGTCCTGGGGTTCCAAGACACATCTTGGGTCTGGAGGCTCTGGGAGTTGTTGATTAAAGGGCCTGGGGTCAGAGGTCATGGCCAGGGGCAGCAAAGCTTCCTCCATGGCAGGAAGAGAAGGTGGTCCCAGAGGGGGAGGTCAATGTCAGCTCCTCTCATCCATCCATGGACGTCCTGAGGGGTGCGGGAAACCTGCAAGGGAGTAGGGGGCAGCAACTCAGGTGTCCATGAATTTTGAGGACTTTGTACCGCTATTTCATTGGAAGAAAGCCCAACTTCAGAAGGGAGCATGGCCCTACCGGGGTAACTAAAAAAATTTACAGGATTGGGTCGAGGGGAGCCAGCTGTGCAGCAAGGACACTAACTAAAACGTAAAAGAAGCCGAAACCGGTTTGGCTCAGTGGATAGAGCGTCAGCCTGCGGACTGAAAGGTCCCAGGTTGGATTCCGGTCAAGGGCATGTACCTTGGTTGCGGGCACATCCCCAGTGGGGGTTGTGCAGGAGGCAGCTGATGGATGTTTCTCTCTCTCTCTCCCTTCCTCTCTGTAAAAAAATCAATAAAAAATATATTTAAAAAAACAAACATAAATGAAAATCTTATAAGGAGATGGACCTTTTTTTGCCCCCTAACTTTCCAGGGTGGGATGCGAGGAGCAGGAAGTCCTAAGATCTGCGGAAGGAGGAGTCCAGGGGCACTAATGGGACTGCAGCAACTTATTCCAGCTGGAAAAAGAAAGCTCGCCCCATCTGCAGCTGGGACTCAACTTGACCACGCTGGACTCGGAAAGGCGGGGTTAATAAAAGGGGGAGGAGGAGGGGAAAGAGGAGGGAAGGGTGGGGTCTTTGGACGGCAGTTCCAACCCCAGGGGAGAGGGAGGAGGGGCAGGAACCAAAAGAGTTTGGGGCAAGGAATCCACATTTGCCATGGTTTCAAGTCTCTGCTTCTTGAAAGATGGAGCTGTTGGGGGAGAGGCCTCCAGCCAGTCCAGCCTCGGGACCCCACGGAATAAGCAGGCACCTTGCCCACAGACAGGTTCCGGTGGCCTCTTGCTCCTCCCCTCAGGACACTGGGGCTTTCCCCATCCCTCCCTTTCCCCGGGGGACTCAGGGCTGACAGTGCGATGGGCACTCGGTTCCTGAGAGGAGCACACCAAGGCGGGGCTGGCGTTGGGGGCACCGTGGGAGAGGGGTAGGGTGGCTGCAGCCACATTCCTTCAGCTGTCTTCTTCTGGACGCGAAGGTCCTAACAGGCTGGAAGGGTTGGTTTGGGGAATCCCTGGGGTTCCTCTCCTCAATTCTCTTGGAAGCCTAGGGACCCTAAACAAGCAAGGAGAGGTTTGGGAGGGGGTGTTAACTACTCACCACCCTGCCAGGGCTGAGGAGAGGAAGGGGGTAGAAGTGCTCCCCTGGACCCCCAGCTGCATCCCTGCCCGGAGGTCCTAGGTGTCCCGGCGGTTGTCGGGCGTCGGCACCCCCAAGGCCATTCAGTTCGTGGCCCCCTAAAAACTCTTGCAAGTCGCAGCCCAAGCCCCGTGAACTAAAAGCAACCAGCTGTGGGGGGGTGGGGGGGGTGACATCACGGGGCGGGCCCCTCCAACTCTTCCCCCTGTGTGTGGGGGAACACACTTGACCTCCTGCTTGAGGCTGGGACCAGAGACCCCCCGCCCCCCCCCCCCACCACCCACAGCAGGGGAGGGCCCTGGGTGCGCCAGAGGTTTGCGGAGAAGTCTCTGAATGCTTAGGCGATGACTCGACAACTGGGAGCTTTCGGAGCCCCTTGTGGGGTCTCAGCGCCCCCCTAGCTTTGCCTTGGTTTCTCCCACTTCCCAGAGAATGGGAGTATTGTCTTCTGGAGGAGCGGGTGGTCGGGGCTGGGGGTTTGGGGCCGAGCCTCTCGCCGCCCTGGGCCGCCGGCGAGGGGTCCGTGGGTGGACGAGCTGGCGGAGTAAGGCCAGGCCTGCCAGGAGGGCTGGCGAGAGGGCGTGTGCCGAGGAGGGACCCCCAGGCCGCGCCGAGCCGGGCCGCGTGGGGGAGGGGTCGCCGGTCTCCGTCCACCGAGCGGCTCGGTATGCAAATGAGATGTAAAGCAGCCTGCGGCGGAGGGCGCGGCGTTCGGCTCTCCGCTCCGGTCCCGCTGCGCTCGTGGTGCTCTCCGGCCGGGCCCCGCTCCGTCAGGAAGCCTGGAGCCGCGTCCAGAGGGGCGGATCCGGGCCGTGGTCGCTGCAGACACACGGGGCGGTTCGCCAGCTGGGTCAGAAGCCGGGGAGGCCGTGGGTTGCTGGGAAAGAAGGGGCAGTGCTAGGGGGGACCAGGGCGGGGGCTGGCCCGGGGTGTCGCCTCTTGGAGAGGACATGATACAAAAGAGCCTCTGTCCTCAGCCAGCGAGGAAGGGGTCAGGGCGGTGGCCCCTCTAGGCTCCCTAGTTTTGTCCGCAAAGGGAAGCAAAACTATGGCTCAGAGGCTGTCCTCTATCTCCCAGTCTCGGGAAAGCCCAAAAAATCCAGCCAGAGGAACCCTAAGAATCTGTCCCCAAAGCGCAGGCACTGTTGCAGCAGCACCCACTTGCTTCGCTTCCACGGGTGCAACTTGCAGGGATTCTACTTCAGCACGCGGAGGGCTGCGGCCGCGGGCCCTTTAAGGGGCGGAGCCCGCGTTTCCCCGAGGACCGCCTCCTCTGATTGGACACGCCGCTCGCTAGACTGGCTCGCGCTTCAGCCAACCACTTTTCCTGTTCCTTCCTGTCTTCTGTGGTGACCCCGGAAGTGAAAGTAGGCGTAGGTCGGCGTTAGCGACGAGGACCGAAGGCGGAAGCAGAGCTTGAGCGGGAGGCGGAGCCCGGGGAGCCGCTCTTAGTTGCCTTGGATCTGGGCCCAGCGGCTCGAGGGGGGAGGAGTTACCGCCGCTCTTCGGTACGTTACCTTCTCCCCGTCTGCCCGGACTCAGGGTTCCCTGGTTGTCTGTCTCTTAGGGGCAACCCCAAGCTCCGCCTCCAGGTTTTCTTTAAGGGCCGCAGGGTCCCCACCCTTCTCAGGCAGCCTGCAGCCCTCCTTTCGATCGTCTTTCCGTTTTTCCCCAGAGTGATCCCCGGACTTCAACCTTTGCGGTACCTCCCTCTTTTCCGGAACCAGAGCTGTATCTTTCAGGGGAGAGAAGAAAAACTTAAGTGGAGTTGGAGGAGGGGGCAGGGAGTATTGCTAGAGGTAATAAATGCCCCCAAAGGACTTGGGAATGTAAGGGAGGTGGATGCATTCTATATGCTATATATATATAGCCTCAATTTAACCCCTTTCTCGGACCTATCCTTGACTCAACTTGATACTTTGTTACAGGCATCCGAACTTACCATGATGGCTGTGACCTAAAATCTTCTGGAAGCCAGGGGGTCATGGCCCAGAAGCACCCCGGAGAAAGACAGTTGTGTGGAGCCCACCACAGTGGTGGTGCCTCCCTCGGGACTTTAGGACCTTCTCTGGACCCTGAAATACTTTCATTCTCAGGACTCAGGGACTCAGCGAGGCCTGCTCCTAATGGTACCCGCTGCCTCACAAAGCATTCTAGTCCTAAGTACACACAGCCTCCAAACCCAGCCCACTGGTGGGATCCAAGCCATGGCCCCCCAAGGGGTCCAGGACCCCCTAGAAATGGAGAGGACCCTGATCAGAGTGAGGCATCTTCAGAAGAAGAGTCAGGAGTGGAGCAGGAACTCTCAAGAGAGAATGAGGCTGGGCACCAGGAGGACGAAAACCCTTCTTTTATTTCCATTCCATCTGCTTGCAACAGCCAGGGAACCCCTGGGGTCATGAAGAGCCTTACTCTGGGGGTGGAGGAGACAACTCTTCTAGCAACTTTTGCCACCATTGTATGTCTCCAGCTTTAGGAGAACACGAAGAGTTGGAAGAGGAATATGAGGAGGAGGAACCCAAGTTCCCCAGTGATTCTTCACGTGTGCCCAGTGGAAAGAAACCTCCACCCCGGAGACAGCGGCACCGGGTTTCAGCCAAGGACGATACTTGGGAGGGTGGACGCAGGGATCCCAGGTCCCCTGGGCGACATCGGCTGGGCAGGAAGCGGAGTCAAGCGGATAAGCGCAGAGGCTTGGGATTATGGGGAGCAGAAGAACTGTGCCAGCTTGGACAAGCAGGTTTCTGGTGGCTGATCGAACTGTTGGTATTGGTGGGAGAGTATGTGGAAACTTGTGGCCATCTAATCTATGCATGCAGGCAGCTGAAAGGCAGTGATTTGGACCTTTTTCGAGTCTGGGCAGGAGTCTGGGCAGGGCGACTGGGGGCCTGGGCCCAGGTAATATTCCAATTTCTGAACCAGGGGTTTTGCTACGGGGCAGGGCTGATCACCCGTTTTCTTAGGCTACTGGGTGCTTTGCTGCTTCAGGCTCTGGCCCTCTTGTTGGGCTGTCTGCAGTTGGGCTGGCAGTTTCTTGTGAGACTGGGTGACCGGTTGGGCTGGAGAGCTAAAGCCACCTGGCTCTTCTCTTGGCTGGATTCTCCCACCTTACAGCGTTGTCTGATTGTACTGCGAGATAGCAGGCTGTGGCAGCAAATGGTAAGGATGGTTCAGTGGGGTTGGCTGGAGTTGCCTTGGGTCAAACAGAGGACTAACAGACAAGAGAATGCACCTGGAGCTAGCGGTCGCTATTACCATCCTGAAGAGGAAGTGACTCGACTCTTGACCATGGCTGGGATTCCTGAAGATGAGCTAAATCCTTTCCACGTGTTGGGGGTTGAAGCCACAGCATCAGATGTTGAAATGAAGAAGGCCTATAGGCAGTTGGCAGTAACAGTGAGTATCCTTCCCCTGTTTCCTATCCCTCTTGTGCCTATATTTTATTTTCTAATTTTAGGGAGAGTAGAATAAAGGGAGCGCAGAGAAGAAAATCAACTTTAAGCTAAAGGGTAACTTTAATTCTTAGAAAAGAGTCATAAAGACTTTTTTATTTTTGAATATGTTTTTATTGATTTCAGTTAGAGGGAGAGAGCAATATAAACCCCAATGATGAGAGAGAGTCATCAATCAGAGCAATATAAACCTCAATGATGAGAGTCATCAATCAGAGCAATATAAATCTCAATGATGAGAGAGAGTCATCAGTCGGCTGCCTCCTGCATGCCCCCAACTGAGGGTCAAGCTCACAACCCCGCATGTGCCCTGACTGGAATCAAACTATGATCTCCTGGTTCTAGGTCGATGGTCAACCCCTGAGCCACACCAGCTGGGTGATTCTCTTTTTCGTAATGAAAATAAATGGAACGGTATATATGGCAGTGTTGGACTCACTCACTTTGAAATGTTGAGATGAAGTCCCTCTGCTAGGGTGGAGAAGAGACCTAGTCAGAAAGCTTGTCAGTTCCTCTCCCTGAACAAATGAGGGGTGTTTCTGAATATAGAGAAATTCAGCCATCTGTCCCAGAAACGCAAGTGTGGACCTAGTGTGGGACAGTTCAGGGAGTGCTTGTGAGTGATTATTCCATGACCAGTGAAAGAAAAGCTATTTCAAGTCCAGCAGCCCAGCCCGGCTCAGTGGCTGAGCATCGACCTGTGAACCAGGAGGTCACGGTTAGATTCCAGGTCAGGTCACATGCCCGGGTTTTGGCTCAGTCCCCATTGTGGGCCATGTAGGAGGCAGCCGATCCATGCTTCTCTCTCATCCATATTTCTCTCTCTCCCACTACTTCCCTCCCTGAAATCAATAAAAATATTTAAAAAAATAAAAGACCAGCAACCCAGAGTGAGAAAGGGAAGGAAAATGGGATATAAATCAGAAATATGTGCAAATGTATGTCATATATGAAAATATGGTTGCTTTTATTAATAAAAAGGAAGTTAATACCCTTTTTCCCCGAAAATTAAGACAGTGTCTTATATTAATTTTTTCTCCCAAAGTTGCGCCAGGTCTTATTTTCAGGGGATGTCTTATCTTTCCACGCGCTAGGTCTTATTTTCAGGGAAACACGGTAGGTGGGAGTTGTGACACACCACATGCTTAAGGGAAATGATTTAATACAAGCATGCAAATTGTTATTAGAAGTTAATATTAGATTGCTATTTTTAAATGATTGTTTCTATTTCTGTATAAGTGAAACTATATTATGAATGTAAATAATGTGTGTAAGTTGCACAGGTAGCCTGTTTGACTGAATGTATGGAACTAGACTGGTACAATATCACAGTGTGCAGATTACCTCAACAGTTGCATGACACCAAAGGAATGGACAACCATGGTTTCCACTAACCATTCAAGGCACAATAAAGCACCAGACCTGCTACTTACAAGAGACTAAATTAGTTTGGTGGGAAATGTATGCCCTTAGTTGATAGCCTGGGATATTCTTAGAGTGGGGAACAAGTGCATACACTTAAATAGTTACTAATAGTAGAGCTCTTTTTCTCACCTTCATGTCTTTTTAGCAGATATCCTCTTTTGTGGAATATCATTCTTCCAAAAAAATATCATTTTCAACTTACTTCTTTGGAGTAGATGATGTTAAGTTACCCAGTCCTCAACACCCTGCCTCACACCCCAGAGTTCCCTTCTTGGTCAGAGTGTCAGTGAGGTTCTTTTATACAATCTCTCACTGCCCTTATTAGGCCCTAGAGTGACCATGATTGCAAGGCTATTCTGTTATCCTGGGAATATGGGAGAGTTAACAGCATTTTGCTTATTGGCATCAGTCAAGAGACTAGCTTTATGTCTGAATTTTGGAGGAACGAGGATGGGAATAATAAGCAGTAGGAAGAGAAGTTATTTGTCTTGGAGAAAGGCTGAAAAGGGGATAAAAACCCTGTATCATAATATGGTATTTCGTTTCTAGGACAGAAAGGCAAACTATTGTAGGAAGTTTTGAGTAGATATGAGAATTTTCTAGCTAGAAAAGTGAGAATGTTACATCTGTGGAACTCTTATTTTATAACTGACGATAAAGTTTAAATGTGAGAGATTAGTATATATGTGCCAGGTCAGGTGACCAACCATCCCAGTTTGCCCGAGATTGAGGGTTTCCTGAGACATGAACTTCAGTGCTAAAACTGGGACAGTCCCAGGTGCACTGGGATGGAGGATCACCCTAGTACAGATTCTGGACTTCACAAGTATTCTCATTTAATATTCCCAACAATCCTTGATAGATAAAATATTCTAGGTTATGTAGCTAACAGTGATAGTGAAGCATCTATCTTATATAAAAACTGCTCTTTGAAATTTTAACCCTACTATTTGGCTTCTGTAAATGTTTGCTTGCTTAAGTAATAAGGAAATAAGACTACTCCCACTTCAGAGAGGCCATTAAACCTTCTCTGGATGAAGTTATCAGTGCTGGCACCAGGCCAAGCCTTTGGTTGAGATTTCAAGGTCCCAGCACATAGGGGTTCTTTAAGAATTTGCAAAGGGGGCTGGAAACACCCCATATTTGGGAGACAAACGAGGTAAAAGCATATAAATAAGGAAAGTTCCTCCACGTTGGGGTCCAGAATTTGAGAGACATTTTCCTCTGGGCCCACGCGTAATAAATGTAATGCCATCTCTCTAAGTGTTGCTTGGTTCTTTTCCCGTTTTCTGTAACAACAGAGCTGTGACTTGAACAGAGATCTCTCTGCAGAGCCAGAGCAATTAATTATTAAGCTATATTGAGAGGAGAAAATGGTGGCCAAATAGACAGATGGGTCCTGTGCTTGTCCTGGAGCAGATAGAAGAAACTAAATTGGAGAGCTGGAATTGGTGAATTAGACACAGCTGATGAGACAGTTTGCAGCTGAGTGGTGCCGAGGATGCCTGGAAAACTGTAGGATCAGGAAATCTGGGCTGGAGAGACACATGCGACCACCAGGATGAGGGTCAGGAGGAAGCTGCACTGCACCAAGGCCATGTCTCTTGGGGACAGGCGTAATATCCGACTGTGGAAAGGAAGTCCGTAGTGTGCTAGCAGTTGGGCAATCTAGATCAGCGTTTTTCAACTGCTGTTCCTGGTGTGCCGTAGGTGCAGACAAGACAAGAATTTTATAATTTTTCACTATTTTGTTTACTTAATATTTCATAATAAAGTAATTATAAAATACTTTCTTTGTGTTTATTTGATTCCTATTTAAGAGAATTACTTTATATATAGTCAATATAGGCACAGAGTTAAATTTTTTAACATTTTCTAATGGTGGTGTGCCTCGTGATTTTTTTCAAGAAACAAGTGTGCCTTTGCCCAGAAAAGGTTGAAAAACACTGATCTATTGATAGATCTCAGGCCACGGCTGAGAGAGGCTGCGCCCAGAAAGGTGGCCTGAAGAACTGCGTAAGCAGCGTGGTGCCAGGGATGAGGGAAGGGAAAGTTTTATCTACTGTGGGTAGAGAAACTCAGTCTCTTGGATTTTTTGCCTTTGTCTTCGCTTTTATTTGTTAAAACCAGTTCATAGGACCTTTCAATTACAAACACTCACCTGAGACTGTGCTGCAGATAGAGGTGATTTGTGGGGTCTGGGGAGAAGCTGTGGAGGAAAGCAGAGCAGGAAGAGGTGACCAGGAATCCGGCACTGAGACATTTGTGACCCTCCAAACCATTTTTCTCCTGAAGAGCCAGCCCCTGCCAGCAGCCTCAAGAGAGCTAATACTGCCATACCTGGCCCATATCCTGAGTTTTACAAAGGAAACAAGGACTCTGAATAGCTCCAAAGAGCCCTGAGAAACTGGGTTGAAGAGGGGCCTATCAGTTCCAGAAAGCAATACAGCACCACCCCACGTAAAGCCCTGTCAGAAACAGGAACAAGACAGGGATGCCCACTGTCTTCACTCCTGTTCAACATAGTATTGGAGGTGCTAGTCATAGCCATCAGACAAGAAGAAGAAATAAAAGGGATCCAAATTGGAAAAGAAGTAAAACTGTCATTATTCACAGATGACATAATATTATACATAGAAAACCCCAAAGACTCCATCAAAAAATTACTAGACTTAATCAATGAATTTGGCAATGTAGTAGGATACAAAATTAATACCCATAAATCTATGGGGTTTTTTAATACACCAATATAAAAGAGAAACAAACAAAAAATCCCATTTACCATTGCAACAAAAAAAATTAATATACCTAGGAATAAACTTACCTGTACTAAGGAGTTAAAAGACCTGTACTCAAAACTACAGGACACTGAAAAAAGAGATAGATGAAGATATAAACAAATGGAAGAATATACCGTGTTCATGGATTGGTAGAAGCAACATCATTAAAATGTCCATACTACCCAAAGCAATCTATAGATTCAATACAATCCCAATTAAAATATCAATGGCATATTTCACAGACCTAGAACCAAAAATTCACCTGGAATAAAAAAAGATCCTGAATAGCTGCAACAATCCTGAGAAGGAAGAACAAAGTTGAAGGGATCGCAATACCAGGTATCAAACTATATCACAAAGCCATTCTTCTCATAGCTACCTGGTACTGGCACATATAGATCAGTGGAACAGAACAGAGAACCCAGAAAACAACCAAGCCATTACGCTCAATATTTGACAAAGGAGGCAAGAGCATACAGTGGAGTCAAATCAGTCTCTTTAATAAATGGTGTTGGGAAATTGGACAGATACATGCAAAAAAAGTTAAACTATGGATAAAGGACTTCAAATGGATAAAGGACTTAAAGGTAAGACATGAAACCATGAGAATCTTAGAAAAAATCCATAGGCAGCAAAATATCAGACATATGTTGTAGCAATGTCTGCCTATATAGTTCCTAGGACAATGGAAATAGAAGATAAATGCAAATACATCAAAATAAAAAGCTTCTGCACAGCATAAAGAAACCATTAACAAAGCAAGTGAGCCCACTATATGGAAGAACAATATTTGCCAATATCTGATTAAGTTTTAATCTCCAAAAATTACAGGAACTCATACAGTTTAACAAAAGGAAGATAATCCAAGAAAAGAATGGGTAAAGATCCTAAATTAAGCATGTCAAACTTTCAGCCCACAACAAGTATTTTTGCAGCCCAGCCAATATAACAGTATATAAGAAATGTTTTAATAAAAATTTCATAACTTAATTTTTATAATATCGTTATACATAATTATTAACATAACTTAATTTTTATAATATCCTGTTATACATAATTATTAACAAACTACAATGTTCACTAATGACTATTATAATCATGTTGCATTCATTTCCCTTATACACAAGCACACCATTTCTCTCCACTAATACTAGCAGCAAATATTTTAGCAGCCGATTGCCATAACTTGTTTGGTGTGCTGTGTGCAACAAGAAATATTTTGCTTTCGGAGAACAAGAAAAATAGGTTTATTTGTGTTATGCTTATTAATTTGTGCAGTTATTCAGTGTCTGATAAATGTTCAAGAAAATATTTATTATAAAAATATTAATTCTATTTTATATTAATGATTACTCATTTATTTCAGCCCTTTGTATTCAGCATGTTTCTATGAAAATTGAAGCTTTTATTTTTTTTTCGGCCCACATAAACTTAAACCTTATTTATTTGGCCTGTGTTAGCCTTTGAGTTTGACATGCTTGTCCTAAATAGACATTTTTCGAAAGTGGACATACAGAAGGCCAAGAGACATATGAAAACATGCTCAAAGTCACTAATCATCTGAGAGATGCAAGTCAAAACGATAATGAGGTACCATCTCACACCTGTCATAATGGCTATCAACAACAAATCAATGAATACCAAGTGCTGGCGAGGATGTGGAGGAAAAAGGAACCCTTGTACACTGCTGGTGGGAATGCAGACTGGTGCAGCCACTGTGGAAAACAGTATGGATTTTCCTCAAAAAATTAAAAAGGAACTTCCTTTTGACCCAGTAATTCCACTCCTAGGATTATATCCCAAGAAACCAGAAACACCAGTCAGCCCTAGCCGGTTTGGCTTGGTGGATAGAGCCTGCAGACCCAGGGGTCCCGGGTTCAATTCTGGTCGGGGGCACATGCCTAGGTCCAACCTGCAGGAGGCAGCCAATCAATGATTCCCTCTCATCATTGATGTTTCTATCTCTTCCCCTCCCTTCCTCTCTGAAATCAATAAAAATATTTTTTAAATGACCAGAAAGGAAATATGCACCCCTATGTTCTTAGCAATTTACAATAGCTAAGATTGGAAACGGCCTAAGAGCCCATCAGCAGATTGAGTGGACTAAAAAACTGGTACATCCACACAATGGAATTACCACACTGCTGTAAAAAAGAAAGAACTCATCGTTTGTAACAGCATTGATGGACCTAGAGAGCACTATGCTATGCGAAATAAAGTAGTCGGAGAAAGATAAATACCGCATGATCTCATTCATTTGTGGAATATAATGAACAACATAAACTGATGAACAAAAATAGAGGCAGAGTCAGAAGCATTGAACAGACTGTCAAACCTCAGAGGGAAGGTCAGGGAAGAGGGACAAGACATCAACCAAAGGACTTGTATGAATGCATATAAGCATAACCAATGGACACAGACAGTAGTTGGGTGAGAGTATGTACTGGGGGTGGGGGGGTGGGAGCAGCTGGGGAGAGGTCAATGGGGGGAAAAGGAGACATATACATTAAACAATAATGTAATTTTTTTAAAAACTATATTGACTCTCCAAAAGGGAGTGAAAAAGAACCATTTGACATGAGTTGTGTGTGTTTTTTAAAAAAAATTGATTTTTTTTTTTTTTTAGAGGAAGGGAGAAAGAGAGGAGGAAACATCAGTGTGATAGCTAACATTGATCAGCTGCCTCCTGCATTCTACCTACTGGGGATTGAGCCCGTGATCCTGGCATGTGCCCTTGACTGAGAATTGAATCAGCAACCTTTTGGTGCTTGGGATGATGCCCAATCACACTGGCCAGGGCTACCACTTAACATAAGGTTTGACCCAAGATGGGGAGAGGTTTGGAATGGATCTGTGATGAAATCTTTGTCTGGCAGGTTCATCCTGACAAAAACCATCATCCCCGGGCTGAGGAGGCCTTCAAGGTTCTGCGGGCAGCTTGGGACATCGTCAGCAACCCTGAGAGGCGGAAGGAGTATGAGATGTAAGTTGGAGATAGGAAATTGTCAGGTGGTGTAAATGAACAATCTTCAATAGCAGAGGTCCCTGGAGTTGTGGGTGAATGCCCTCAAAGGTGGAGAAAATTGCTTGTCTTTCTATTGGGTCGGCAACTAAGTAAGTGCGGATTTTTTAAAAATCAAAGAATTTTTTTATGGAACTAAATAACTTTATTCTGTAATGTATTGCCCATTTTGATCAATGACCTTTTGCCATCTTTCAGGCAGCATCATAATCCCACGTTCAAAAAACTTCTGGTTTTTATTAGCAAAAAACTGAATCAGGTACGATTTGACATCATCATCATTATTGAAATTTTTACCATTCAAGGAGTTTTGTAAAGATCGAAACAAAAAGTAATCAGATGGTGCAAGGTCAGGACTATATGGTGGATGTGGCAAAACATCCCAACCAAGCTCCATTAATTTTTGCCGAGTGACCAAAGATGTGTGTGGCCTTGCATTGTCATGATGGAATACAACACCTTTTCGATTTGTCAATTCGGGCCGCTTTTCTTCAACTGCATTGTTTAATTTCGTTAGTTGTTCAATGTAGACATCAGAATTGATCGTTCGGTTGGGTGGTAAGAGTTCAAAGTAGACAATTCCTTTGTAATCCCACCAAACTGATAACAAAACCTTCTTTTGATGAATATCAGCTTTTGATGTTGTTTGAGTTGGTTCACCTGGCCTGCTCCACAATCTTTTCCGCTTGATATTGTTGTAAACAACCCATTTTTCATTGCCAGTTATCAGTCGTTTTAAAAATGGATCATTTTCATTACGTTTCTTTAGCAAATCGCAGCTGCTAATGCGTTGTGTTAACTGTGATTCTTTCAGTTCGTGCGGAACCCATGTATCGAGTTTTTGAACATAGCCAAGTTGTCTTAAGTGATTTTCAATGCATGTATGTGATACATGAAGCTTCTCTGCAATCTCACGTGTTGTACTGTGACAGTCCGAATTGATTATTGCTTTGATTAGGGCATCATCAACTTCAACTGGACGACCAGAGCGTTTTTCATCTTTGAGTGAAAAATCACCAGAACGAAATTTGGCAAACCAATTTTGACACTGCCGTTCTTTTAAGGCTTCGTCACCATAAACAGCACATAACTTTTTATGAGCTTGCGATGCGTTTTTCCCTTTGCGGAAATAAAAAAGCAAAATATGACAAAAATGTTCCTTTTGATTTTCCATTTTTCAACGAACGCCAAACGAAAACTACAAAACAGATCAAAAAACTTTTTTTACTGATTAACAGCTGAATAGCCAACTATCAAATAACAAAATGTGTTTTACATTTGTACTACATCTGCAAACCTAAAAATTCAACTGAAGCCATATATGTGTGAAACCCGCAATTACTTAGCTGCCGACCCAATAGTAAGCCAAAGTCCTTTCAGAGGCCAATAGATCTGTCTCCTTTTACCTCTTGCTCAATACCCTCTGATTTACAAAGCCTTTCTTCTCTTAGGAAACGAATGGCGGAGAATGAGCTGAGCCGGTCAGTGAATGAGTTTCTGTCCAAGCTGCAGGATGACCTCAAAGAGGCAATGAATACGATGATGTGCAGTCGATGCCAGGGAAAGCACAGGTATGAAATAGGAATGTAACAGCCACAGCTTAGGGGTTCGGTAGCCAAAGACCTTTGTATTATTGGTAGTTGTGGGATAGAAATGGTAAAAGCACCCTTGGGTTTCCACTCTGTCATATTGTAGAGATTGGGGATTCTAATTAGTAAGAAGAAAAAGAAAAAAGCCCGGTTGGTATGGCTCAATGGTTGAGCATTGACCTATGAACCAGGAGGTCACAGTTTGATTCCTGGTCAGGGCACTCCTGGGTTGTGGGCTTAATCCCATGTGGGCCATGCAGGAGGGAGCCAATTAACGATTCTTTCTCATCATTGATGTTTCTCTCTCCCTTTCCCTTCCTCTCTGAAATCAATAAAAGTTTATTTTAAAAAAGACATTTTTGACCTTTAAGTTAGAAGATTGAGAGAAGGGTGTGCATAGGCATATGTAATAACACATAATGAGACTACAGAAATGTCACAGGCTTGACAAATTATTAAGGAATTGTCCTTCTGTTGGGTTGCAGGAGGTTTGAAATGGACCGGGAACCTAAGAGTGCCAGATATTGTGCTGAATGTAACAGGCTGCATCCTGCTGAAGAAGGAGACTTTTGGGCAGAGTCAAGTATGTGGGGCCTCAAGATCACCTACTTTGCACTAATGGATGGAAAGGTTTATGACATCACAGGTATACTTCTGTTCTGTAGAAATACGGGCTCATATATACTTACATGATGTATGAGCTAATCCTTTCTCATGTGTGCAGAGTGGGCTGGATGTCAGCGAGTAGGAATCTCCCCAGATACTCATAAAGTCCCCTATCACATCTCATTTGGTTCTCGGATGCCAGGCGCCAGTGGGCGACAGAGGTAAGTGATATTTCTTTCAATAATCTATCCATTATTCTAGTTCTGAATATGGTTCTTAGGACACCTAGATGTCTTACCCTTTAAGAAGCTACCAACTTGCCAAAACCGGTTTGGCTCAGTGGATAGAGCTTCGGCCTGCGGACTAAAAAGTACCTGGTTCGATTCCAGTCAAGGGCATGTACCTTGGTTGTGGGCACATCCCCATTAGGGGGTGTGCAAGAGGCAGCTGATCGATGTTTCTCTCTCATCGATGTTTCTAACTCTCTATCCCTCTCTCTAAAAAAAATCAATAAAATATATTTATTAAAAAAAAGAAAAAAAGAAACCAACTGACTCAATATATCTTTAACATAGTTACCTGTGTTAGACTTTTAATCTCTCTTGCCTCATTGTTGTTCTGTTTTCCTTTCAGAGCCACTCCAGATGCCCCTCCTGCTGACCTTCAGGATTTCTTGAACCGGATCTTTCAAGTCCCCCCGGGACAGATGTCCAATGGGAACTTCTTTGCAGCTCACCCTGGCCCTGGGGCCACCACAGCTTCCAAGCCCAACAGCACAGTACCCAAGGGAGAAGCCAAACCGAAGAGGCGGAAGAAAGTGAGGAGGCCCTTCCAACGTTGACACTTGTTTTCTTCTTTCCTCAAATCAATGTCAGGGAGTCCAAACACCTGTGTATAGCACAGGATGGAGTTTGATTTCTTTATTTAAAAATGTTTTTAAAAAGGCAACTTTTAAGCTCAAATTGTTCATTCAGTAGGAAGCGCCAGAACCACTCTCCCTCCTCCACCAGTACCAAGGAACTGAATCTTGTCTTCTGACAATACCAAAGAAATAGGGGGTGGCTAGAGCAAAGGACCTAGGGCATGGACCCGGACTGGACAATATCTTCCAGTGGAGTGTGGGAACTGGGTATTTCCCTAGGGTCTGTATGCCTTTTTCTTGTCTTTTCCTTCTACAGCAACAGATGACTTTCCTCCTCTTTTTAAAACTATGAGTCTATCTTATTTCTTGACCCATTTCAGGGCTCCCTCCTGAATATACTAGTTAGCCCAATACTAGTTAAAAGAGAGAACAAGAAAGCATGTAACCCTAATTATAGGAGATGAGAGTTCAGAGTGGGAACTCTGAATTTTTCCTGTGACTGTCACCTTGTGGGTAACTGCCGAACTTCATGCTTGTTGCTGCAGGGATGGCCAAATAATTAAAAAAAAAAAATCAGACTCATGCCCTCTGCCCTTGAGTGAGGGGATAAAATAAAGGGGCTCCTGGTAGCCCCCTTATGATCCAAGGGTTTGTATTTTTTTAAGTTTGTTGATATTTGTATGTACATAACTATTTAAAGCCAGGGGATTATCTTTCTATAAATGTGTAACTGGCAACCTGTTTCTTCCCTTTCTTCTTTGCCTTTATAGATAGTGTCCTTTTCCTCATTTGAGAATCCTCTCTCCAAGTGTTAGCTGGAGTGAAGGACACCTCCTGAACCGAAGGAGAGGGGATAAAAATACCTTAGAGAAGCTTTGTGTATTAAACCACTGTTCTTTCTTCCCCAGCCTTATGAGGACATCTCCCTCCCTTCCCTGCTGACCAAAGAGTAGCCATATCTGAAAAAAATATGACCTTTATTATGAGGGAAATACACAGCAAAACAGAGCTGGAAGGTAGTGGGGTTGGAAGACATGGAAAAATCATACAAGCTGCCCAAACATGGCCTCCTGTGGAGGAGTGATTTGTCCCTTACCTCATGTGCCTTTCCTGATTCAAAGAAGCCTGCTCCTAGCAGGGCTACTCCCAGGGAGCCCCATTTTCCAATCTGTTCTCGTCCTGGGAGTTTTGGAACAGTTGTATAGTTCTCAGGCTTCCAAGAAAAGACAGTATGGAGAAGGGAAAGATGTTACAGCCTTTTGTTCCGATGTGGTCCCCAGTCCCATCCCTCAGTATTTATTGATGCCAAAGAGACGAACCCCATGGAATTGGGGCAATTTAGGCAGCAGTACGCTGAGCAACGAGGCTGTGTTGATGATGAAGTGAGCAGCGTCATACTTGGTGTAGAAGCTGGCTAGGAGGTAGCTGGAAGAAAAGAAATAGGTTGAGTGACTTTCTCTTCTATTTTAATGACCAGTTTTATTGCATATAGTCCTAGGATATTTGAAAATATCTGAGGGGTCAGGGAGATAATGAGCTCCTTCAACTGGAGATTTTTAAGATAGTTTGTGTGTTTAATAATCGTTAATGACAAGTGGCAAATGACAGCTGAAGCAGTTTCAGCCTGAATCACTGTTAAATCCTCTGTGCTTCCACTCCCCAAAGCCAGTTTTCACAGATTTACCTCAGTTCTGCCTTGATTGATTCACATCTTTTGGAAATGTAAAATCAGTTGGTTTTACTTGGTTTTCCCATCTCTGTTCTCCTACCACCAAGGAGGCAGCAAGGAATGCTTGATTATTGCTTTCTATTTTTTACTGCACTCCCTAGATTTAGACCTAGTATGCCATAATATCTTCAAAGGGTCTAAGTGATTAGTCTGCTTTTTTAAGTTCCCCTGTGGGCCCCTGGGCCTGGCTCTTGGAGCATTCCCATATCTCCCACTGGACTCACAGTATAATAGGAGAAATGCTGAGGAATTTTCGGGAAGAGGTGAATTGGAGCCCGTAGTCCATCTGTTCCCAGTGTGTCAGTAGCCGAGCCTTTCCTTGGTCAGGGGTCTCAAAGGGTGTCCCTTTCACTGTATGTAGGAAGACATACATGGCCTGGGAAGAGAAAAGGCAGCAGTCTGAAGGGGCAGAATATGGTCCTTTAGCCCAAGGATGAAGATCCCAAAGGAAGGCATATCTCCAAATAATTGGGGATTTTACTTTGGGAAAGACCTGGGGTGGGTATAAGGGTGTGGGTTAGCGCTCACCAAGTTATGGATGACGTTGGTCAGGGTCCAGACAACAGGAATACTGAAGAAGGGGATGCTGAGTAGCACCACATGCAGCAGTCCTACCAAGATGATGTAGGCCAGCCAGATGCCCCGGCTATTCATCACTCGGGTGTTGGGGTTTACTTCGCTGTGTGCTACTCCCACATTCATCCTACCACAGTGGCGGGTCAGGCAGGAGTCCACCTCTAGTTCCTCTCAACCCAACCCCCCTTTGATTTTTTTTTTTGCCCTCCCACATCGTCTCCTGAATATCTCAAATCCCCTGAACTGTATTGGGAATGAGAGAACATCCCCATCGTGCACCAAAAAAAACTGAAGGCTTGGGAGGTAAAATACTTAAAAGGCAAGAAGAGTCCTCTCTACATCTTAGAGACACATGGTAATCCTTGATTCTTATACTTCAGCTTGAAGGAGTAAGTGTAGGAGTGGGCACCTACTTCAAGGAGCAAGGGAAACAGCAGTATTTCACTTTATTTTCCTCAAGTTGTTAATAAGGAAGCCTGAAGAAGTTACATACACCCATAATTCCAGAAGCAGGTAATGGTAAACAGGATTCACTAAGGAGGCATGAGGGGGTAAAGCTACTTCCAAGCCTCACCTTCACTCTGGGGCTTGCCCGTCCTCTCATCCCAGCAGCCAACATCCTAATTCCTTCTCTCAAGCGTGGGGCTTTGGGAGAATTTACCCAGGATTTTGGGTTGAGCTGGGAAGGAACCTAAGTTGAGAGCCTCCTGTTGGACCCCTAACCCCAAATCCAAAGGCTGCTCAGATCGTCTGCACTTGGCTCCTTAAAACCGTGCTGGTCTAAAGTTGATGTCTAGTTAGGAAGCACCTCTCTGCCTAAAATTCCCTAAACCTTAATATTGAACCTGCCCGAAGCTTTTCCCAGCGTCCTTTTCTCGTACGTCGGCTCCCCTCTGGTTCTCTCTCGGTATTTAACTCACCGCGGCTCCAACCCCCGCCCCCGCTTCCGCCCCCCCATCACTGTCTGCCTGCCACCATTTTCGCAGAGCACCCCTTCCAGTCTCCCGTAAAACCCTACCTGCAAGCTTCAGAAGCCGATGGGCGAGGGGCGCAGCTCTCCCTTCTATACCTGTGGTCTCCAGGAAGCAGCCGCCCACGCTCATCTGCTGTCTCTCTATTGGTGGAACCGGGTTAGCGCTGCCACCGTCCATTGGCTGGGGGCCTGCCACGAAGACGCCCAATTGGCCGCCGTTTCCGTCCTTTGGAAGGAGCAGAACCCGCCCCTCTCGCTGCCCCACCTATTGAGAGGTGGGGAAAGCTGGCAGGAGGAGGGCAGCTATTGACGAATGGGAAGAGTTGATGGTAAGAGGTGATAGTAAGAGCGGCAGTGATTGGTTGACCCTGGCTGTCCGCTCCTGGGCGGGAGCTGCTGGGAGCGGAGGCCGCGAGTGGGGGCCCAGCGGAGTGGAGGGGTAGCAAGATGGCGGCAGAGACGGTGGAGCTGCATAAACTGAAGGTACTGTGAAGGAGGGCAAGGGCTGACTGAGGCTTTTTCTGGGGACTGGGTTCTGGGAGTGGCTTGTGCCCTTTCCTGTGTTCTTTTTGTAGGCTTTTCCACTTTTTTACCGGCTCCCTCCGTAGTTCTTCCTCACTACGCCTGTCCTAATTTCCCGTGCTCCTCACGGTTTTAACGTATCTGTATTGTTATTTCGGCTCTCTTCATTGTTGTGTCGTCCGTCATTTCCCCACCGGGTTGTGTAAGTGCCTTCCACCCGTTCTCTCCTCGTTTCTCGTCAGAGCTGCGTTACGTCAGTGGTCCCACCTCTCTGCCCCATGCCGCACCCTGCACCCCTTTTCGTCCCCTGGGTTGATGCTTTCCTCTCCGTTGTCCCAAGCTGATTCCCGTTAGCATATGTTGGCATCTTTGTATATTTCTACCTCGTTAGGTCTCAAATGTGATCCGGAAAACCCACTGTTTTTTTTGTTGTTGTTGTTTTTTTTTAAAGATGGGGTTACGCCCCCGGAGGGGGGGGCGGCTTTGGAACCTGAGGAGGGGCTTCAGAATTTGGTCTCCCCGTAGAAACCTGGGGTTTGGGAGATCTCTAGAGTTAGTAAAGGCACAGGTAGCTCGGATTTTAAAGTTTTTCGAGTTCTCTCACGCGGTTCTCCCCTGGCCAGCCAACCCCCCTCCCCGCTCCCTACTTACCGCCAGGCAGACAACTCGCTCGGAGCTGTGATGTTTTGGAAAAACATTTTCGCGGTTAGGGTTCTCTCTGTCCCATTTCAGGTCGGGGATGGACCCTGCATCTCTTGGTGTCACCACTTGGTGACACTCTCAATCACCTGTTCTAAGATGTGCCTTGGGATCTTGGTAGCCTTCTCACGTTTATTTTCATGGAAGAAAAGAGTAATTTCTTTTAGGGTAAATTGTGAGAATATCTTGACTAGTTGACCGTTTGTGGTTTCACAAGTAGTTTTCCCATTAAATGTTTTGGTCACATCATCCTGGGAATCTTGGACAATCCAAACTGGCTTAGCTGAAGCTGAAAACTAACCCTTTAAAACTTGCTTAGCTTAAAAACAAACAAAAATAAGGAGAGAAGGATAGGGAGAGATCCTTTTAGTCACTTTTTAGTTGACATTGATTATCTTTTTGTGTGAAAGCTGAAAGATTTCTTACTTTTGGATCCTAAACTGTACTAGTGGGTCTTTTACCACAAGTAAGACAAATTGAGCAACCACTTCCATTATATGTACACTTCTGTAAATTACGTTACCATACTATTATGTATGTATAACACAGAGAAAAGGAATGTTTCAATAAATGAGATAAAAGGAAATATTAATAGAAGATAAAAAATTTCCCGTTTTGAAACCCCTGGAGTAAGGCACCAGCCTTGTGACTCACCTTTATGGATTTGGTTTTGTATATGGAATTCCTCCTTCCATAGAAGCTGTATTTGTTTGGACCTTATTAACTTTTATTTTGATTGGATAATGTCCTCTGACCTGATTTCTGGTGTTATAGTCTAAGAGATCATGAGGCATCCCTGACAACCTAAAAAGTAAAAAGGATTCACTCTTTTAATCACATTTGCTTGTCTTTGCTTTTTCTCTAGAGCACTTCTTAACCTTTTGGAGGTCACAGATATCTTTGAAACTCTGATGAAAGGTATGGACCCTCTCCCCAGAAAAAGGCATGTACACATACTTTGCATGCGATTTGAGGGGCTTCATAAAATTACCATGTAGCCCTGAGGAGTCCATGGACCTCTGGTTAAGAACCCATGCCTTTAATTCTGACTTCTAGGACAGTTAATGTTTGGTTCCACTGTTGATCTTGATGGAGTAATCCTGACTTGGGTTGATTTAGGGTTATATCTTTTTTTTTTTTTTTTTTTAAGTCTTTCCATTTTTATAAAGAAATTTGGGGCTTTTAGAGGGGGCCCTCAGAGGAAAGGAACAAGCTTTAATACAGGAAGGAAGAAAATTTGAATTGGTAGGTAAGTCCACATCACCTGCAGAATTCTAAAGATTTTGTAGAAATGCCATTATTCTAACACAATTATAGGGACTGAATTGTGGGTGAAAATGCTTTAAACTGTAATAGTACCAAATTCCCAATCAATAGTGAGAAAAGAGACTACTGCAGAGGAGATAATGAGAAGGGTCTGCAAGTGCAGGAGTGTTGAAAAAGTCATGTAATTTTGAAGCATAAAGTGCATATATGTTGGTGGCTTAAGATTGTAAAGGGAACTAGATGAATTGTGTTACTGCAATGGTAGATTGAAGTGGTAGTGAAAAGGACCTTTCAAGTTGTTCATGGCATTTGGTTTTTGTCATGTAGGCAGAAAGTGGGGAGTCTTTGGAAATTTTTAAAGAAGGAGCTGATGTGATCCATGTGTGTTCTTATGGCAGTGTGGAGGATGAGATCTGAGAAATTTCACCCCTACTAAAACCTTTTACCTTTATACCTGCCAATTTATCCAGCTTAGTTTCTCACTCTCCAACCACAGGGGCTTTATTTTATTTCATTCCTTAGAATGAACGTGCTCATATAGTGCTAACTCTTAACAATAGCATTTACTATGTGGCAAGTACTGGTCAAAGTTGTTTACATACATTAACTGATTTAATTTTCACAATAGCCCTGGAAAGGAAATGCCTGTTATCCCCATTTAAAAAAAAAAAAAATGTTGTTATTGATTTGAGAGCGAGAGAAAGAGTGAGGAAAAGAGAGAGAGAAACATCCACGGGCTGCCTCCTGCAGCCTCCTCACTGGGGATCGATCTTAAAACTCTGACATGTGCCCTGACCAGGAATTGAACCAGCAACCTCTCTGAGAGGGTGTGTGGGACAATGCTTAATCAACTGAGCCACACCTGCCAGGGCTATCCCCATTTTAAAATCAGGAAAACATGGAAGCTCAGAGAAATTAACTGAATAACTTGTCCTAGGTTCCACAGCTAATGATTGGCGGGATCAAATCTAGGCAGTCTATCCAAAATTTATGTTCTTAATCGCTGCTCACTACTGCCTCTCCTTACCTCAGAACCCAGAATCTTTACACATGCTTTTCGCTGTAGTGCTGCTGCCACACCCTGTTCCCCTCATCTTCATCTAATTAACTACTAGTTTCCCTTCAGTAGTCAAACATCATTTACCCAAGGTACCCTTAGGTGTAGGATAGGTTCTCTCCCCACACATTGACAGACTACTTTTTAAATGCCTTCATAGGACTCTATATTTTTCTAAAAATTAATCAGTTAAGTATTATGTATGTGATCATTGATTGCCTTGTTTCCTTACTAGGTTGTAAGCTTCATGTGGACAAAAACCATCCGTTTTGCTTATGATTATTTCCCTGTACCTAAACTAATGGTTTACATGCAGGGGGTACTCAGTAACTATTTGTTAAGTGAATAAATTTAATAAGACCAAAATAAGGTAATGGCTAATTGGAGGGGAATAAATTTAAAAGAAATTTGGGATATAAAATTGTAAGTATAGATCAGTTAGATGTGAGAGGAATGAAAGATGACTCCAAGATTTGAGTAGTGATACCTCAGTCTAGTTTGATAAGAGAAGAAGCCTGTTTTGTGCAATAGAGAAGATAAGTTCAGTTTTGGGCTTAAGTATCTTTGAGACATGCACTTGGAGATGTTTGGTAATCATAACAAAACAAAATAAAGAAGTAAAAATAACATGCTCTGGCTGATGCTTCTACCCTGTTTCCCCGAAAATAAGACAGTGTCTTATATTAATTTTTTCTCCCAAAGTTGCGCTAGGTCTTATTTTCAGGGGATGACTTACCTTTCCATGCGCTAGGTCTTATTTTCGGAGGATGTCTTATTTTTGGGGTCAGCCTTCACACCAAGGGGTCAAAGTTTCAATTCCGGGTCAAGGGCATGTATCTGGGTTTTGGGTTTTCTCCCCACTCCCACTCAGGTTCGTGTGTGATAGGCAACCAGTCAATGTGTCTCTCTCACATTGATGTTCTCTTTCCCCTTTCTTCCTTCCACGCTGAAAAGCAATGGAAAAAATATCTTTGTGTGAGGATTAACAACAAAAAAAACAAAAACAAAAAGGTGGGGGGAGAGAGATGCCTGGTAATCAGTTGGAAATGTAGTCTCCTGCTCAAGAGTTGAAAGCTGATAAAGGTTTGTGACTTTCAAAAAAAATATTTATGGGGTGCCTACCATATGCAAGCTAACAGGTGCTGTTGATATATTATAGTAATGAACAAAATAGACAAAATTCTTCCTGTTGTGGAGCTTATGTTTTGCTGGGGAAGGCACAATAAAATAAAATGTATATTATCAAATAGTGGTAAAGTATAGTGAAAAATAGGAAAGAAGGACAGGAAGTACAGTGGGAAGAAGGGTATTGTAATTTATAATTGGGTGACAGGGGTGGGCCTCATTTGGAATAGGATGTTTAAGCAGAGACTTGAAGGAGTGAGCCTTATGCATAGTGTAAGAGGACTTTATAGGTGATTGTTAGGATCTGGCTTATACTCTTAGAGTTAGGAAACCAATAGAAGATTTTTGAGTAGAGGAATAACTTGTTCTCACTTAAATTTTCAAAAAATCACTGACTACCTTGTTAAGAATAAACTAGAATAAGGTGCAGGGACCTAGAGTTTTTACAATAATTTGTATTTTAAAAGGCCAGAAGGGATTATACCCTAAATATATTTTGAAGGTAGAGCTTTGCCAGTGATTTGATTCTGGGAAGTGAGAAAACCTTTGATACAAGTGGAATGAAAAGCCCAAGAAGGAATCTTAGTGAATATTGGTATTTACAGGTTGAATGGAAGAAGAACTAGCAAGGAGGCTGGTGAGAGGTAGAAGGAAAATGGAGAGTGATAGATGTGAGCAATGTCAGCATCTTGGTAGTTAAGATTGGGCTAAAATCAGAGATCTGAACTGGCATATTGGCTCCACTGTTTTATAGCTACATGAAATCTCTTTAAGCCTCATTTTCTTTATAAAATGGGATCATAATACCAACTAC